GGGCCACTCAGACGAGCAGAAAGTCTGCCATTTACTTTTTTAACCTGTAAGGAGAGATTGTGAGCCCTCTCTCGAACCTCCGACCAATGGTTGAGGCTGAGGGACAATGGGGACGATGTCGTTTGTCCCATGATGTTCTGAAGACAAAGAGTGGTTAGCGTACGCGCAACACAACAAATAACCGTTCACAACAGTCACAACACACAGGACAAACAGGCCGGCCACCTCACTCTCACGCATTAGTTTCACACCAAACGAGTCACCTTAGGGGGTGCCTCCAGATTGGCCCGAATGGACCACAGATTGGGCCCCAGATTGGCCCAGACGGACCACAGATTGGGAATGAAATTCCCCAAACCGATAGGAAAATCCTATCGCAGACAGTGAGTCACGGAAAACCGTGTGGGGCGTCCCCCGGTCACCAGAGAACAGAGAACAGATAACAAAAACAGGTAACAAAAATTGCCCCTAGATCGGAGCCATTTGGCTCAGGGCGTAAAATACCGGTAGATTGATCCTCAGAGTAAAAATAAGAAGCGACCGGTCGTACTCACCCACCGCAGAGCCGTTGAGGTCACCTCCCGTGAGACGTGCTATCTCGCTGGGGCCTCCAAGATGTTAGGGCTGACGCCGCAGGGAAAGAGACCCCAAGGACTCAACTCTTGGTGAGGAAAAAAAAGTTTATTTCCATGCGCATGGGGTCCTCCAGGCAAACAAGTGCGGAGGGCCCCGAGGGGAATTTGTGCAGGGTTTTTAAGGGCACAAGCGGGAAGCAAGCAGGTTTACAAAAGCAGATCGCATTGGTTAATTTTGAATGGCGCACGACTTGGCAGATGCTGATTCGAGGGGTCTGGGGCTGAGTAACCATGGAGACTGAGGGTCCTGGTCTGATCTCAGAGTGCCAGGTACAACTCGGTCTCGTTTGAACAGCACATTCCTTTACTTATCTTTACCTTTACAGAGGACAGAACATCTGGTGGTTAATGACTAGCAGATGCATTCCTTCCTGTCCTGCTCCGATATCTCAAGGAGGAATTAGGGAGTGAAACATTTCTTACAGCTCTGTTCTATAGCTCGGGGGGGGGGGTTACATTACAAATGGGGAGTCGATTCTCTCAATACAAGAGAGAAAGACTATTTAAAAAAATAGTAGAGAAACAATAGAAAAACAATAGTAGTAGAAAGTTGACTTACCTAAAATGGGAATTATCCAATGATGCTGCAAAGGAAAGAAAGCCATGTGGTGGCATCCAGGAGGCAGTGACAAATACAGAGTTAAGAATAGCACCTATTGTGCTGCAGCACAACAGTGATCTCCTTCCTTCAATACATCTGAATTCACAAGACTGAGGACTTCCAAAAACTCATGGAAATGTTAAACTAACAGCAAACAAGCAGCTTGAAATCTAGGCTTTGGAACATGGCCTTTAGCAGACATTTAATATTCGTATTGAAACAGAAATATAATCCTATTCTGTTTGATGTCAAATGCACCAAGTTGGTTGGCTCACGACATTGAGGAATGAAGTCACAAACCAAAAGTGGTTCAAAAACAATTTTTGGAAAAAAAGAAAGAAGAATAGCCCTGGATTTTAAGGAATTATCTTCAGTGTTTTGGCCACAGACCTATTGTCAGGGGTCATTTATATAGCAAAGTCACAATGTGGGTACAATGTGGGTCTCTAACTACAGTCAACCTATAAGCTTATAGCTGCTTAACTAATATTATTCAGCAGGGGAAGGAGTCACCCAGAAAAGGTGTGTGGAAAGATCCAAGACATTTTTGTGGGAACAATAGGCCAGTTGTTCTGGTCACTGAGTATGGTAATTGATGCCTATCTGGACCCCCCTGGAGGGGGTGGTGGTAAGTGTAGTACATTTCAAGCTATCATTTTTCTCTTCAGGAGGCATGTAGACATGGTCACTGCATCTTCTTCACGTCTGGCTTTCTTCAGCTGTGCCTCTAGCAGTGATTTTTGTATTTAGTTTTTTCATTGACGCTTTGAGGTTCCAGATCCCCTCTGATGGTATATCAATTTCTGTCTACATTGACATCCTTTGCTAAAACCACAATATTATTTGAATGGATAAAATGATGTTTATACATTTAAAAATATTCTTTAATAGAGGACAGAGATTTAGCTCAGAAGTACTTCTTTCTTCTACCTGGCAAGTGCTCCGTTGTAACTTTGATCCCTGTTACCTAAAAAAAAAAGTAATTTAAACTGCAAAAGAGAAAATAATTTCATTTTTGAAAATATAGTTTAATAAGATTTAGAACTAAATATGTCAGTGGCAAATTAAATATTGGTAATAGTCCTATTTAGTATCTAAAGTGATTGGGGCTAGGCATTGAGCTCAGTGGTACAAGGAGGTTCCTCGCAGGTACAAGGTCATGAGTGCAATCCCTCATCCAAAAAAAAAAAATCGACATTTGTCAATGATGCAGTGCTGTGAGCACAATTATTGAAACTGATACTTGTTAATTAAAAAGCTCAATTTTTTTTTTGTGATCTACAAAATATCTATGGATAACAGGGCAATTACAGTGAATGATATATTGTCCCCTACAGGGTTGTTATTTTCTGAGTTGTTTTTATTTTTTGTTTTCCACATACTTGTAAGGTGAAAATGTTGGCTGATGCTAGGTAGAAAAACTGATAATTATTTTTTCGATTTAATGATATATCTCACTATATCCATTAAGAATATTTTCTTTGCTACAATTATGCCAAGTGAAATTGATAAACAATTCTTAATGTTACAGGCAGCTGACTTATTTAGAAGTCCAGGCATCTGTACCATGATACAGTGGAATGAAACACCTGATCTTCTATGTATGGTATGAGTTTGTGTTCTCTAAAATGGAAGAATGAATTTTAGGAACAACAGAGTTGAAGAGCAGAATATATTTATTGAGAGAAAGTGAAAGTATTTTTCCCTAAATAGGATATTTTGGCAGTGGAATGTGAAACCAGGGGACTTTTACCTTGAGGTCAATTTCCCCTCCACTATCCAACTTACCTGTGGTGGGAAAAGAGTCCCAATCAGCTGCTTGCATATCAGCAGTGCCCCAATTAAACAACACCCCAGTTGACAACTATATGTATGCCCCCCCACACTTTTCCAGACCCCCAGAAAGCCAGACCCCAAGTGTTCATGGGGTTCTCTCCATGGTCTTAGAATAAAGGCCATTTTGACTTTATATTCTCTTCTTTACTACACCAACAATCTTATTGGAAGCTTCTGTCTGAGCGAAAGTGGAGGGGTTCTGAGCTAGTTGCAAGGGACTCTGTCTTTTCTAGGGACTTTACAGAATAAAATTATGTGGTGAGATATGTTTAAGGTGGGTTAGGTTAGTGAGGTTACTGAGGAAGTAAATTAGTTTCATAGGTACACAAGAATGAGTTCTATTAGCAATTTCTTGTGTAATAGAGAAGTGGAATATAAGAAAAAATAAAACTGGCCTTTTTATTTAAAGAATATGGAGAGGAGCCCACAGCCACCAAGGGTTTGGCTTTTTTTTTTTTTCTGACTGACTATGGGGTATACGTGACTTTTGACTGGATGTGGTGCTTGGATGGGACATTGATGTCATGCAGGGAGCTGATGGGAATTTTCTTTAGGTCCCTGGGAAATTGGGAAATGAATGAGGAAGGTGTAATCATGGAAAAAAGAGGAAGTGACCATATGGGTAAGCATCCCTGGTTTGGCCTTCCACCTTTCTGAACTACCACCATGAGGTCCTTTAATTGTTTCTAGGGAAAAACTCTTTCAAAAACACCCTTCAGTTTGAATGAAGAAATGAAAATAAAGAATTTTTGCTATCCGTCTACCTCCATGGATGGTGGTAAACCATTCACAAGAAATATTTTTAGTAATTTCCTTAATGCATTTTAGATAGGATAAGCAAAATTACAGATAGTTAACTTTCATAAAACAGAAGAAGCATTTAAAGGCAGGGATAAAGCCCATCAATGCAAGTATCCCTTGAGAGGTGAGATCAACATTGTAGAACACAAACTACTACTGATTTCTCTGACTTCAAGAAAGAGAAAAAATTATACTGATCTTGCTATAGGGGAATGAAACACCTGTACTATTAGGTCTAGTATGAGTTTGTGTTCTCTGAAGACAAAAGATGAATTTTAGGAACAACAGAAGTCAACAAAATATACTTACTGGGAGAAAGAAAGCTGTCTGAGAGAGAGAATGGGTCCTGAGCAGGTTGGCAAAGACTGTCCATTCTAGGGACCTTTATAGAGTAAAATCATGTGGTGAGATGAGTTTAACGTGGGGGAAGCTTGAAACTCACAATGCAGATGGCCATAAGATGGAACAGTACTATGGTAGCAAATAAGATTAATAGTTAAGTAAAGTTGATTACATTAGGAACAAATGGGGAAAGGAGTCACATAGAAAGCAGGCATTTTAGGCAGCTGTGACTCTTCCCTTAGGTCTTTGGGAGGGTGACTTCTGCCTTCTCAGGATGATAGGAAGTATTTAGAATGTCAGTCTTTAGGATAAGGATACATTTCTTTGAATGGTGACTCCTGACTTCCTCAGAGTGCTAGGGAACTATTTAGAATATCAATCCTTTCGATATGGATGAATTTGCTTCATCTTTTGTCTTGAGCCTTGGGCCACAGCATGAGGTGTCTGTCTTCTCCATTGTTGCAAGGTATCTGGGATTCTGCATTGTCTCCTTGGAGGAACTAGCCCTGTCTCATTGCCAGTAAGATTTAAATAACCCAGCTGTCTGTAACTGTATGGTTTGGAAAATTGATTACGGATGTCTTGTGCTCTAGGTGAATGATCTGGGTATGACACTATGCAATGAATATACCAGTGCTGCACCCTGATAGACACGTTTGAAATTTGTTTTAGTTTATTTTTTCTTTTTATCCTTAGGATAAAATGGATTTAGAAATAACAAGGCTAAAGTAAAGCTTTTCAGTACAAACAGTCCTCTGTGGAGCTGAGTTCAAGACTTTAGAAGAATGGCAGCTCTAGAAGTCTCTGCACTGCCGTCTATCACTTGGGAACATGTCTTGCAGGGTGGTGTTCCTTTCTCTGTTTACTCTTTACTTAGAATGAGGGCAGTAGAACAAGAGTCAATCAGTGATGAAGAGGTGGGCTATATGAACTGTCCAATCAAGGTGGGCCATGGCTGGCTGTGTCTTCTGTCTCTTCCGGTGTCTCAGAATGATTTGCCTGTGCTGAGTACAATACTTGTAGCAAAATGCTTGCTGGATCCATTTAGTGGTTTCGATGTCCTTTGGCCTGATTAACAAAGAATCTGAGAGACTCTGGAGCCATGGAATGGTGAGGTTGTGGATGGGAGAAATAGTGTGGAATTGGGCAAAACTAGTTTGAATTGTTTAAGAGCAGTTCCGGTGCCTGGACCCTCAGGTATTTAGGTAGCTTTCGGTTCTGAGGTCCTCCAGCATTGGCCATATGTCCATCTCTGTCTGTTTTGCCTCTTGCTGTTGGCAAGGGTGATTTGGGATCCCCAGAACCCTGGCTTCACTATGACAGCAGCACACTGTAGTATCATCTTTGAAATTCACTGCTGCCCTGGTAACTACCTTCTTTGGCAATGGAAGGAGCTTGGGGAGTCCCTGAGTCTGATACTTTTTGTAGCTGGTAGAGCAGTAATGGAGCTAGTTCTCTGCTCTCACTCCTCTGAGTAGCAGATCTGGAATGTCCAAAGTTTATAAATGTCTGTGATGCAGGGCCTCATGGCCACAACTGCTCTCCATAAAGTTGGGCTTTCTTGTATTTATAGTGATCTCCTAAATTTACAGCATGTTCTCATATTTTTGTCCTCATGACAGGTGTTGGCAAAGGTATGCCCATGCAAGAGTAAGAGTCAATCCCAAATGATAAGTAAGAGATGATCCCAAATGATAGACTGCAGTGCAGAGACTTCTAGAGCTGCCATTCTTCTACAGTCTTGAACTCAGCTCCACAGAGGAAAAAGCTTTACCTTAGGCTTGTTATTTCCAAACCCATTTTATCCTAAGGATAAAAAGAAAAAAATAAACTAAAACAAAATTTCAAACATGTCTATCAGGGTGCAGCACTGGTATATTCATTGCATACTGTCATACCCAGATCATTCACCTAGAGCACAAGACATCCGTAATCAATTTCTCTGAGAATTCAGATGTGTAGTGATGTGACTCAGTGGAGGAAGGCTTCCCAAACACCTGGTGAACTCCTGTGTTTTATAGAGAACAGTGCAAAAGAATTTCTGAACACTTAATTATTTAGGTGGTACTCCTGCTCACAGACTATGTTTGTTAGAACAGCCATAAAGTTTTGAATGAGAAAAATGAAGCAAACATGAAGGTTTTATCAAGGGCAGTGTACAGTGTGCTTGCTAAAGACAAATTCCAGAAAGGGCTGCTTGTTAAATCCTTATTGAAAGATGCCTAAACTTAGGCATTTGCATAGGCATATACACATGATATCCTCCTGAATGGAAAGGAATAGGAGTGTCATTTATGAGTTAACAGCTATGTAATAGCTTGGTTGATCATGACATTGTTTAAATATGGAAATCTTTTGCAATGGACTTTACTAAGAGGTATAAAGGAAAAGCCCTAAATTGAAAATGTTCAGGGATATCAAGAGTTAGGCATGAAGGGTTTTCTGGTTAGGGTGGATCAGAGGAGCATGGAAAGGATGTGGAAGTAACTGGCAGGGTTCAGGGTACCAATATCAGGACATACAACAGAAATCATCATCACTGAAAGTCAGGTAGTTCTTAGAGTAGGTATGAAGTTAAAGTTGCGTTCTGATTTCTTCCTTAAGGTAACACCAGCTCTGCCAACAATCAGTGTTCCACATACCTTTCAACCCATTAATTCTGTGTTCCATACTTGAGATCTAATTTTGATTATCTCTAATTATGCCCCAGTGTCATGAAGGTGAAATTGGAATTTTTTGTAACAGGGATTGAACTCATAACCTATGCTTGACCAGGCAGGCATTCGTGCCACTGAGCTAAATACCCACCTATGAAATTGATTCCTGCATAGTATGGAAGATGTCACCATTGTTCCTCAGAAAGTGTTGAATATTGTTGGAATTTTTCTATATTGTAAGACTATAATTTTCTAGAACAAATCAAAGATGTCTTATGCAGTCACTTTTCAAGTTTCACTTTGTCTGTGGGGTGTCTCAGTCAGGGTTTCTCTATTTTAGACAGATCTGTAACTTAGAATAGCCCCAAACTCAAGGAAGTACTCCTGCACCAGCCTCCCAAGATACGTTTCTTATATCTAATGGAAAGTGATCACTTGGTGACACTGAGCTATAATTTGCAGCTTGAGCCTGGTTTCATTGTCTATATATTTTTTACATACAGCTGTTTTCCACTAACATTTGAGTTACTATTCATATACCATATTTGATGTTATTTCTGTTTTGTTCTATGAAAATTCATATTTCAAAATGTTTCTTAAGTATATTAAGTACAAAGAACTCAGAGGCCTAAATGAGATTTGAAGAGATATCATCTGTAGTCTATCAAACTGATTGATGAGATATTTATCTTCCTCTGTGCTTTGTGGATGCTGGTCCTGCAGGCTCCCACTGTGAGCTCTGCTTTAGAGATATTGCATAGGAACTCTTGCAGTGACTCAACACAAGAATCAGTGCCCCTATTTGACTGTTACATTAGCTGTGTGTTGCAATATAGCATCAAATTTGCAGTCTCCAAAAATGTGTATGTACACAAAATTAATGACCAAGACATGGATTTAAATTTGAGGAATTCAGTCTCCATTCAGTCTCCATTGTTTGGTTTTGTTTATTTGGATTAGTTTTGTTTTTTTGAGACAAATATTCTGTATGTATATCAGCTGGATTTGAACTCCTTATAGAGCTAGAATTGCCCTGATCTCACAGATGCTCTCCTGTCTCAGTGTTTTGAGTGCTGGGATTATAGATATTCATCACCATACTTTGCTTTTGATTCCAATTTGTATGAGAGATTTCAAGATATCCCAGACCTGGGGTCTCAGCCTTCCTTTGAGAAACATATGTATGATCCTTTAAGAGTCAGTGACCTTTGAGGATGTGGCTGTCAACTTCAGCAGTGAGGAGTGGACTTTGTAGAGGCCATTCCAAATGAAGCTCTACAGAGATGTGATGGGGGAAACCATTAGGAACATGGCTGCTATAGGTAAGGATGACATCTCTTTGTCAGTCATGCTATCAGAATATTATTTATTGCTCATCAGAGCTGCTTCATTAAAAAGAATCAGAAAATGTTTTCAAAAATAGGACAGACCTGGTCATACTATATCAGAAATCTAATCAAAATCTATTAATTTGTATGTATTACTGTAATGAGTCCTGTATTTCTATGTCTACAATTCAGGAGGACTTGGGGATAACTGGGAAGCTAAAAAAGAATGCAAAATTTACTGGAGATCATTAAGGTAATACACACTTACAAGGAGAAGGGATGTTCCTAAGTAATTAGTGAGTCAGCAGAAAAATAACAGCCAAAGAAATGAGGCATCATTCAATTTAATATCAGTAATATTCTCCAAAGGTGTATATGCTGGAGCATGTACAATGAGGGAATTAAATCATGAAAATATATGTCATTGTATAAAGATGTGAGCAAAAGGCATACACTTTGAGTTTGGATAACATCCTGCCTTCAGTTTACCTACCCATGTATACATGTGAATGCAACACATTAATTATCTAAAAACTGTTAAGATTGCAGTAGAATTTGAAGTAAAACTGAGTGTTCATGTTTCCAAGCCATGCTCTAGAGAATCTGTACATTCTGCTTAAAATTCTAAGTAGGTTGGTGGAATGTTAAGTGCACTCATTCTGAATATCAGTATGCAGTTGTCTCTAGAAGTTGATCCTCTCATACTTCTCCTCGAAATATTTTCAAAAACAAAATCCACATAAAATACAGATACATGCTTACTCATATACAATGCAGATTGTTATAATGGATGAGGCCTTGAAGCAGCTTAGCTATCTGTCACTGGATTTGTGGAGAAGTACAATGTTAGTAGACTCTGTGTGATTGTGCATTCTTATAAACCCAGCAGCACCCTAGGAATCAAATTTTGCAGAATGGCAAATTCAAGTTCAAACTCCACAGCTTAATGATCAGTGAAAATCTCTTAAATAAAAAGCTAGAGATTTTGTGTTAACACCTGTTGTTCATTCTGAGCATGGAAAAAACATGTGTTACATAATAAGTGAAAAAATAAATAATATGATGTCATTTTCCATAAGAAATAGGTGGGTCTTCTCACATCAATTCATTGAAATAGCTCAGCTATTAAATGTGAAAAGTCATAGGGTTTCTGTTAGATAAGAAACCAGAATATAAATTGTGCAGTGAAATGAAAGAGAGTTTATAGAGAAAGGTACGCCTGACTGTTTGGGGAGGGAAACTACAGGTTAAGTTCAGAAGGGAAATTGTGATGGAGAAACATATCAAAATGATCAGTATGTGATATACATATGTACCCATGCCCAAAGTGAAACTAAATATTCTGCATTTCAAAACACATCAACCTTTTTTTTGGTCTTTTTCTTTTTTATTGGTCCCTGGGATCGAACTCATGACTGCCTGCTTGCAAGGCAGTCATGCCGCTGAGCTAAATCCTCAGCCCCAAAAAAGTACCAAATTTAAGATTCCCAAATGTGTAACAGTCTTTTGAGAATGATTGTTTTCAACATATTTGATAAGGCATTCCATTGATTCATTGTCAGAATTTCTTGGCAGGCATCAAAACAGAACTTGTCATTAATGCAGTCATTAACACAGAGACCCATTTCACTGATTTTTTTCTTCTTTTTAATTTTATTTAAAAAAGACTAAAAAAACAGAAAATGGGTAGAAATAATACTACTTTCAAAGTGAAAATAAACAGTAAAAAATCACTAGTCAATTATTACATATGTTGCTCACAGAAATAGTTAGTCAAGATACAAAAGTGAAACATATGAAGTCGGGATTCAAACAGTGAGACTGCAAACAGTTTTGTTCAACTATCCAACAATAATTTAGAAATATGATCATCAATCCTATACATAATTTTTTTTCCTTACAGAAATGACAAGCTAGGGAAATCTTATGGACATATGTATTGGAATCAGTGTAAAGAAGTATTTCTTTGTACTGCAGAAGGTAATGTGAGTATGAAAGAAACAGAAACAAAACACCATGTTCAGATCCATAAAAAATATTGCAATGGAGGGAAACATAATTTATTTAAGCAATGCAGGAAAGGTTTTACTACATATGGAATATGTAAGAAACTTAAAATAATTCACAGTGGAGAGAGACTATACATATGTAAGCAATGTGGGAAAGCTTTTACCCATCGTGGACATTGTAAGCGACATGAAAGAATGCACACTGGAGAGAAACCCTATGTATGTAAGCAGTGTGGGAAAGCTTTTACCACATGTGAATCTTGCAAGGATCATGAAAGAATTCACAGTGGAGAGAAACCCTATGTATGTAAACAATGTGGGAAAGCTTTTACCACACGTAGACAGCGTAAGAAACATGAAAGCATTCATACTGGAGAGAAACCCCATGTATGTAAGCAATGTGGGAAAGCTTTTACCTTACGTTAAAATTGTAAGATACATGAAAGTATTCACACTGGAGAGAAACCCTATGTATGTAAGCAATGTGGGAAAGCTTTTACCACACATGGAAATTGTAAGAGACATGAAACAATTCACACTGGAGAGAAACCTTATGTATGCAAGCAATGTGGGAAAGCTTTTACCACACATGGAGTTTGTAAGCAACATGAAAGAATTCACACTGGAGAGAAACCGTATGTATGTAAGCAATGTGGGAAAACTTTTACCACACATGATCAGTGTAAGCAGCATGAAAGAATTCACTCTGGAGAAAGACCCTATGTATGTAAGCTATGTGGGAAAGCTTTTACCACACATGGAAATTGTAAGAAACATGAAATTATTCACACTGGAGAGAAACCCTATGTATGTAAGCAATGTGGGAAAGCATTTACCAAACATGGACATTGTAAGGAACATGAAAGAATTCACAGTGGAGAGAAACCCTATGTATGTAAGCAATGTGGGAAAGCTTTTACCACACATGGAGGTTGTAAGCAACATGACAGAATTCACTCTGGAGAAAGACCCTATATATGTAAGCTATATGGGAAAGCTTTTACCACACATGGAAATTGTAAGAAACATGAAATTATTCATACTGGAGAGAAACCCTATGTATGTAAGCAATGTGGGAAAGCTTTTACCACACATAAACAGTGTAAGAAACATGAAAGTATTCACACTGGAGTGAAACCCTATGTATGTAAGCAATGTGGGAAAGCTTTTACCCAACGTGAAAATTGTAAGAAACATGAAAGAATTCACACTGAAGAGAATCCTTATAAATGTAAGCCATGTGGGAAAGCTTTTACCCAATACAGACATTGTAAGCCAGATGAAAATTTACAGTCAAGATAAACCCAGTGCATATAAGCATCATGAGAATGGTTTGAGCACAAGAACACTTTGGATAATGCATGAAAACCTTCACACTGGGCAGAAAACTTATATATGTAAGGAAATTGGGAACATTTCAGCAGAAATGCTCTTTGTCCAATACATGAAAAAATTCACACTGTTGATTATCCCTATGTATGTAAAGAATGTGGAAAAGCTTTCACCACACATGGATACTGTAAAGTACATCAATGACTTCACACTGTTGAGAAACCCTACGTATATAAACAATGTGGCAAAGCTTTTTACCACATACAGTCATTGTAAAACACATGAAAGTAATCATACTGGGGCAAACCACTGGCTCTGTAAACAAGGGGAGAAACTTTGAGCAGCCAGATTGAAAGTGAAATATCTGAAGAAACTCACTGGAAATGAATCCTGTCTTTTATGGGATTACTCTCAGCACACATGATGATTGTTAGATATCTGAAAGAGCTCACTGGGTAGAGATCCTATGTGGATTTGCAGTGTGAGAAATGCATCAGTCCATATTTGTTGTTAAACATTTAGAAAAAGCGTCACTGCTTAGACTGTTTAATCCAAGTTTACTTTTAAAATCACAAGGAGACCTGAAGAAATAATCAATACTGAAATTTGATGTCAATATTTCTTCACAAATTTTCCAGAAACTTCAAATCTGAGGTGGAGCTCTCTTCAACTACACATGTTGCATGGTTTTCAGTTAATCACATGTACCTCTCTAGATTTTTTAAAGTGTCTTTGTGTTTCAACATGGCATCTTGTAATTAAACATGGTAAACCTAAATGTGCTTTTCACTTTCAAGTATGATTAGTGTCCATGTACTTAATGTTTTCTCTTTAATACTTATTTTTTATATTTTTTGGTGAACTGTAATGTTTTTTTATTGAAACAGAAAAATGGAAAAATAGAGTAGAAATAATACAGAATTTCATAAAAATAAACAATAAGAAATCACTAGTTGATAAGTGACACATTGTCATCTTAGAAATAGTTGTTCAAGGTACAAAATTAAAGCATACAAAGTGACATTCAAATAATGACACTGCAAACAGTTCTGCTCAGTGATCCAACAAATCTTAGTAATATGCTTATCTGTCATACACACTGATTTTTTATCTTAAAGAGGGTAAGATTAAATGACAAAACAGAACAGAACAGTTCATAAAAAAAACAAGTTAAGGAAACACAGATTTCAAAGCAAGTCCACTGGAGATGTTCACTGTCTGTCTTATTGTCTCTAGTGTTCTTCCAAATAGTTGTTCCCATCTTTAAATGCATTGAATTTATACTAAACATTACAGAACTAATCAAACAAGTACAGGATGATAAAGGCTTTTTTGGTCTTCAAGACCTGATTTTGGGAAAGTCCATAATGACTACCATAATGTCTCTCATTCTCTTTGAAGTAGATGTCTTTATCTTTACATATACTGAAATTGAACATAAGAGATTAGACTAATATCACTCTAAACAGTGAATAATAGTATCCTGAGAAGGGGAAAGGTAAGGAATTGCCTAAAAAAAGAAGGCAGAGGAAATTGTTAAATGTGTATCAGGATTTAAAAGCTACAGTAGTGTTATTGCTCTGTTTATATTCTTTGCGGCCTGTCTACTCATATTAGATTTGAGGGCACAGACAGATACCCCAAAAATAACAGGTTATACCATGGGAGCTATCCTTAATTTCCTATTAACTTAAACTGAAACTCTGTATTATTTACTTTGTCTTACTATGATTGGTCTTATTTTAAGCTGGTTTGTTTGAATACTATTTTGCCTTGACTGATTGTCTTAACATTTGGTATGCTTGCTAATATCAAGTCTAAGAGTAGAGGCAACTACTTTGAAGATGGCAAGATGTAAAAGATATCCATTCCAGTTTTGATTATTAACTGCTTTCAAGTCCTACAATGTCTTCAAAGTTGTATTTTTATAAAAATAGCTATGTAACGCTATGCTTAACTAATAATGCCTGATGATGTGGAAAATTCGATTGAAAATAACAAGAGAAACATAGTAACTACAGTAGTTCACCTAATATTGTAGTCTTATATATCTTTTTTATATCATGTTTTTCTAGGAATTTGTTTTGTTGTCTTTTTTTTTTGATCTGTTTTTCCCCATAACACAAAAAGGATAGATATACATGTAAAGATGCACACATGGGAAGAAATTCTAAACTGTTTATTGGAACAAATTATATAATTCATGATGTAATGAACAGATACTCTGAAGAAGAGACACTAAGAAACCCAGTGCTAATTCTGTATCATTATGTCACAAAATCAAGCAAAACTATTGTTCACTGTTCAGAGTGTTATTAGTCTGGTCTATTTTGTGGTGAATTGTAATTTTAACACTGCATTTGTTTTAGTCTTTTAATACACATGTTTAATTTTCTCTTTCATAAATGATGTTCGTGAAGTTGATGCAACATTTGGCATTAAGATATACATTTATTGAGGATTGGAGCATTTGTTTTTGATGAAGTTGTGTTCTTTTCACATAACTTGTACATTAATGAAGTTATGTTTTCCATGTTGTGATGAGATACCTGCTGATTTCCTAACATCACTAGATAGCATACCACGTACATTATGTTGCCTGATTTTCTTTCTCACTGGATCCAATATTTGTCATTTAAGTAAACCCTTGTTTTTCTAACCATCAGAATTTTACCTGTTATATTTATATTACATCTTTACTTTGCGATTGTTTTCTTCACATGTACCAAAAGTAAACCATGCCACTGTGAATTTCTGATTGCCCCAGACTGACAGAAACATAACTTGTCTCCAAAAGCATATCACAAAATATATTAATAACTCCAGAAATTATAACATCAGGTATGATTTATGAGTAACCATACTTTGAAAGGAATTTTTCTTAAATGTGGAATTGCCTTGGGAAAAAAGTTGTTATTGAATGTCTCATGCAAATGCCTTTATTTTATTCCTTGATGTTGCAAATGCATTATATATTCTTTAATTATTAGTACTTTTTCCTAAAACACTGAAATAATTGTATGAAGGGAAACCTGAATTTTGAGGTGTCACACGGTAAAAAGTAAATTTCCTAAATTAAGATTCAGACTGTGTTGTGTTTTACTGCATGGTGAATTCATACAATGGCATGTCTTTTTATTCATAAAGACTACTGTCTCATGTTTGTGGTGTGTGCTGATTATCTTTTTTTTTTTTTTTTTTTTTTTTTTTGTCTTTTTCGTTTTTATCGGTACCGGGGATCGAACTCACAACTGCCTGCTTGCAAGGCAGGTGCTTATGCCGCTGAGCTAAATCTCCAGCCCCTGTGCTGATTATCTTTAGACATATACACTGGGCCATGAGTCCCAGTTGGTTTCCTATGGTCTGTGGTTTTCACTTCCACTTTAGGATTCATGTAATCTGTAAAGTGTTTATTGCAGTGTTGTTGAATAAAAAATCTGCTTAGCTTCCAATGGAATGATGTTGTTAAAAACTGTGGTGTCATAAAAACACAAGAGAGCACTGCATTAAATACCCCTAATCCAGTGTAAATAGCTTGCCCAAGTCTCAATTATCCTTAAACACATAAATTGCTTACCTGTTGTGTACTGTCCAGTAAAACCCTATCTATTTCGAACCTGAATATCCTTCACAAAGCAAAAGACACTGAAAAGTGCATTGTCAGGTGCTTTGCACTACAGCATGAAGCCAGATTCCCTGCAGCACATTTCTGCTTACCATCAACAGGAAAATTTGGAGTTTGTATTTCTATTTCAGTTAATAATAGAAAACTGAATCTATAAGACACATATGTTGAGCACTTTCTCATTTTACCATGAAAGTAAATCTTGGTGCTCCTGTTGATGCATGCTTGTACTCCTAGTACCTCAGAGGGCTTAAATTAGTGGAAGAGAAAGTTGAGACCAGCCTACAGAAGTTAGTGTGAGCCAGTCTCAGAATACATCCTCAGGTTCTACAGATGTAGCTTAGTGCTTTAGTACTCCTCTCTTACCTCCCCAGTGTCAACATTTTTTAATACTCTCAATTACACATCAGTAGTTTTTCCTTTATCACTTGTCCACCTTGCAGTTTTCCCTGAGCATCAATTGAGAAGCACATTTGTTAATGCAGTGATCATCCTGAGCATCATTGGAGCACTTGTCAATCTAACCCATTCATTCTTTTATTGAATACAGTAGAATTGTAACTTTATATTCCTTCTTATTTTATAAAAACTAACAAAAGTATGCAATTTTTTGATCATCTTATATTTAAATAATTGCATTGGTAAGGAGCTACACATAAAGATTAATTTAATGTAATTTCTTTAGTCCCAGCACCAGGAGAGAATAAGATGGGACAATAATGGCTTTGAAGCTGACTTTGGCAGGCAACTGCTGGATGATTTAGCAGGTGGTTTTATACCTGCATTTGAAGTTTAAGGAAAGAAGTAAGTTAAGGTCAAGAATATAAATGTGCCATCGATCTAAAGAATCACTACTGCAATTTGTGATTTTTCTTTCACTCAGGAAATGTACTTTTTATAGTAATTTGTGCAGCAATCTCAAATATGCCTCTATTAGAGTAAAATGTAGTGAAACATG